AGCAGTTCGTGATCAGTGAATTTGAAAGAAAGTACTTCCGGTAATAACCGGAAATTGATTGAACTGCTCTGTGATTTTACAAAAAGAAAAAGTTCTGACACTTTTACTGAATAATATTGATGACTAAACAATCGACGTAAAATAGTTAATCTCTTGATGTATGTTGAAGGCAAAGATAGTACAAAAGCGGTGTTGTTTACTTTCAGTTTAACGAGATTGTCAATTGTCAATTCCAATGACAGCTGATATCGACATAAATGGTTGTTTAAGCTTAACAAATCTATACTTAATGTGAGTTTTCTAAGACAATGGAAAGCACTTGAAGACTCCTTTGTCTGTTTATGTATTGCAGATTATGGATCAACAACACTTTTGATCTGTTTAATACAAACAGTTATGTAAAGTTCAATGATTTTAGTCAATTAAAAGTTGGATATCCTGTGTTAAGTATTTCAGCAATAGAATGATAGATAGGCAAAAATATCTCCTTTGATCTATAATTCCCAACGAAATTTTATTTTCAGAAAAAAATCATTTAATGAGACTTAGATTCATTACGGTGTACGAAATGTTTACAGCAGGATTCTGGCGAAATCTATTCTTAACCAACTTCCTTAAGTATGAAATCGAGATGATTGCAAAACCTGTCATAAACCTTCATAAAAATTAAATTAAATATAACACAAACTTGTACAAACTATAATCAATCGTTGATACAAAAAAGTATTAATCATCCTGAAGGACAAGAAAATATAACAGTGATAAAGTATTGACACTTTTTACAGCTTTAACACACTAACTAACGCTTAAAATCTTGAACTTTCCAACATTTTGTATTGTCGACTTTGTAGTCAGCCGCCTCCGTGGTCGAGGGGTTAGAGTCGATGACTTCTAATCCAGTTACCTCTCTGGCGTGGGTTCGATCCCCGGGAGATGCTTTGGTAGTTAAGCGCGGAGGAAGGTAGTCTAGTACTGGTGTAACTCTCCAGGAACGATGGTTAGGAAACTACCCGCCTATATGACTGAAATACTGTTGAAAAAAGGCGTAAAATTAAACAAACAAACAAACAAGACTTTGTAGTCCTAAAACCCATAACGCATTAAAAGTCAGAATATTTGTTAAGTATTTAATCACCTGTCATTGAAACTTGAATATTGATTTGAAATCAAGCTGGGCAACAATTAAAATAAAAATGAAGATCCTGATTTTATCATTTTAACAGTTTTTCACAGTATCTGACAAAATAAATCATTGATGTCGAGCAGAATGATAATTAAATTTCATATGAAAGCCGCCGTTTTAAAACATCGTATACTTTTCAAAACAATGCCACACAGGGACACAGATGTTATGAAAAAAATGTTACGTTTATTCAATTTAAAATAGATTTTAGTGAAAATAATTTAGTTTGCTCATTTGTCTAGAATGGTTTATGTGTCAATTAATGTAGCACAGAGACAATTTGACCTGAAACGTCATAAATAACAAACGAACTTTTATACTACAGATAATAGTAGTCCATAACCGTTTCTGCTCCTGTAGTGTCGTCTGCTATGGTAGTGTGGTTGAAAGAAAGTGATTTATTAGCTGACTATAAAAACAATCAGGCATTATTGAGAGCTACAGAATCCGTATTTGGTCTTGGTTTCCGATAAAGAATACAATGGGAACACTGATTTGCATAAGCTCAAATATGCGATTGACGTTAGAAGATGTTTTGTAACTGTAAAGTTTGTTTGTAGTAATATCAGTTCTGTGTTGTATCTAATTATATTCATACATATTCTGGATATATTATGAGGTATGTATGTCATGCATGATAATTAGGATAACGATTACAGGTGAATGGAAGTATATTTATTTATTAGACACTTCAACTCAATTCACATTATAATATATTTCAAAACATGTTATTTTGTTCATGTTAAGTTTAAATGTAGATTATTTTCGTTTATTGAATATTTCTTGTAGTTATTTCCATTACGATACTTTGCTAAAAATCTGAAATATTTGCTGTTATGATCAGTTTAAATATAACTTGTAAAGGAACATCTATATGTATTACTGTACTATTTGTACCATTTCAATAATGAAGGTAATGTGCGGTGGTTGCTTTAAATTAATAGTACATGTGTCCATATGTATATTATAAAGATTATAATGATGATGTATTTTGGTAAATTCTTGCAGGCTTGGTTTTGTCCTGTTGTAAATTATGCATGCCATGTTTCAGAAACCAACACTAAACGATTACTGGCATCGCAATTATTTACAATCATGGTGTATATGTATGTTAATGATGAAAATTGCAGTGGTACTAGTATTTAAAAAATTGAATTTCTAAGATAATATTTCAAAATAATGTCTTACTTATTCCAAAGAGCTGTATTTGTTTAAAGTAATGGTTCTTCATTTTCTGTGCTTCAAGATCATTCAAATACAACGGACAAATTTACTTAAGAATATTTATAGGTTACTAAACTGTTTTGTACATGTATATTTGTTGTATCGGAGTAAGAAAAATCAGGGAAAAAACGGTGATCTCCAGGAAACAATGAAAACAATAAACAACAATATCATAATATGAAAATTGCAGACTCAATTTGATTGAGAGATACTGTAAAGTTGCAACATCTCTAACGCCCCCTAGCTTTGGCTTCAGGGGTATTTAGTCGTAGTTCTTGTTTCAGAAGCATTGCCCTTACTTATGCATAGCTTATGTTTGTATAGATATCACCTCATAAATTTCCCCATTGGCTATAAATATTTCAGGAGATATTGAATAACGATGCATATGGCATGTCTGGATTCAAAGAACAATACTGATGTGTAAACGGAAACAAATCTACTTTATGTCCTGCATTTTAAAGGTCTTGTTCATATTTAAATGTTGAATTCTGCTTAAGCCGGTGCTAGGGTCGTGGACGGTTGTTTGCACTTGACAGTACCTTCTCTGATTAGGCTCAATCAAACCGAGCCTGCAACATGTTCAGTTTTGTTGTTTTGGACTTTCTTTAGTGGTTCTTATTTTCTCTATTTTACTGTATCAAACACGTTTGGTGCTGTGACGTTATTAAAATCGTTCATGAGATTTTGGATATTAATGTTATTACACCCAACTGTTTTAAACTAATGTATAATTGTTGTCTAGTCTGTTGGAATATGTAAAATGGGTTAATTGAATTTGAAAACATCATGCTTTCAATCTGCAGGTGATTACTTGTATATCAAAACAATAACTTAAAACCATTATAAAATGCTTAAATCTAAGAACTTAACATTCTTTTGTAAAACATTTATGTTACAACTCATTTGTGAAAACAATGGTTTGATTTTATTACATTTTAAACAGTAAATGATCTTTCTTTTTAATACTGCAATTACATTAAAATACATAAGCATGACAGAATATGTTGCTGTAATTTCCCGAGAGGCACATTAATTGCATATAGTCCTTCCAATGATATATCTAGCTCACTGGAGCTAAACATTCTTGTTATAAATTCAGACTAAGCAATCTTATACAATAATAATTACGATTTGTCAACAATTATTTGCTTTTTTCTTAGCTCATAGGTTTATTAAAAATTATTGTGAACTTTAAGGACTATCATGGCGATCATATTATATTATCTGTATCCAAAATTAAGATAGTCTGGTTAAAATCAAAATGTATTTTATTTAATTCTGCTCTCCTATACGTTGTTTTTAAAAGCCTGTGCATACAGTTTGTAAATGACCCGTGCATACAGTTTTCAAAGGACCTGTTACACGGTCATTGTTAATATATTTAATCAAAATTGCATGAAATGGATGTATCTATTTAAACATATATATAAGTGTGCATATTACTGATCACAAATTTATGAGGTACGTTTAATACCATGTTGTTTTCATATCCTAAGTTAATTCTCATTTCGATATGACAGATATACTTATATACTTATAATATATCTTTCTACGCAGTTAGATGACAATAATGATCTAAATCATGTCATGCACAATCCGTTAAAAACCTGTTTTTTATACATGTATATGATAAGATTGGCATAGGTTAAGTCATGTAAAGTATGACTTTGTTCCACTGATAAAATTACAATTGAATTTAGCAAAATTCGTGCATTTGTACAGTTTTGCGATATAGGTTTTTTTCCATGGACTTTATAAGTATGTTTTGCATGCATCAGCCTAAATAAAAAAAATACGGACTTAGTCACTAGATCCATATTAATGCATTACCTACACGCAATGTGTACGCATTTCTGTGAAAGAAACGCATAAAGAATTATTTATACAAAGAAATATAATTTTATTTTATTGCAAACCATTTTTGTTAAAATTGTCAATACATCGCATTGTAATGTATTTACAAAACTTTATTTGCTTTTCTATGTAAATGACTTAAGACAAAGTTGCCAATGAGACTGAAACTCAGTATTATGGAAATGTTGTATGCGTGAACATTTTGTTTCGGTTTAGTTTTTTTTATACCTGCATTAGAAACGACAGAATCTATTTGATTTTTTTGATACACTTACAAGTATGTCTACCAGTATCAATATTGAATTAAACTTATCTAAATGATGCTTTACCGCCTCAATATATTTATCGTTATCTTCATTTTTTTGAATATTTGCCAAACATGTTGAGTGCAAGTTGAGCTTTCCCTGACTGTCTAGAGAAAGCTGTCAATTTTTACAAAGGCGGAAAAGCAACAAGAAAATAAAAACTGATATGATAATCAGTGCACCAGATATATTTTTATGGGGGAAAACTGTTTTATTAACATTAAAAAAATGATAATGCTGTTTTGCACATCTGTAACTGAAATCATTACTGAAAACATCACTGAGTATTTCATTTTTCTTTCAGTTATTGTCAAGACATTAGACAAGTTGCTTGCTTGCAATTACCACCACCATCCTTAAACAGGCTCAATCAAACCGAGCTTGCAAATTGTCAATATTATCCTTAGGCATTGCGTTTTTCTCTATTTTAGAATTTTACACAGTCAATGTCTTGAAGAAACGTTGGTAGTCAAGATCTTAAAGACAATTGGTTTGGAATTTTACACAGTCTTGGCTTTGTAGACAAGTACGCACGTAAGTTGTATAGTTTAATTTCTCGATATACAGAATGGCGATCATCATCTTATTAAACAAACAAAAAATAACTGATAAAGTATCAATGTAATCTGCACTTAATGCTTTTTACTTGTTATGATATAATGTCATTAGAAAGATAGTTACCAGATTTTTTGTAAGGCAGAAGAAAAACAAAAACAGAATATACGAACATGATTTCAATCAGGTCACGCAGGTGTTTCTTAATTTAGATTTAATGCCTGAATACTAATATTGTCAATGGTTTGTAAAGCGAATTGATTTAGTAATATAAACGGAATTGTCTAGGAGTTTGAAATACGTTCTAAATATGGGGACATTTGGAAACTATTTTATGTAACATTCATGATAAAAGTTTTTTTTATATAATACTAAAAGCGCTTGTCTTTAAGATAGCGAAACTGAGGTTGTGTTTAAATAAATATTTACATATATCTATGTTATAATTTTAAATTTTTGTTGTTTGCTTTCAAAATTAATAAGATAAAGCATGTGTAGTATTTTGCAGAATAAACAAAATATTTATACATATCTGGGGAATTAAGCTGCCATTTAAAGAACGATGTAGGCGGCAAACAAACATGGCTGCCTTTTAACAACAGCAAGCTATAATGTATACTCGTGATTTCCCGAAAGACAAATGACTTATGTGAAATCATGTTAAACATTTATTTAATCCTTTGATAAGGCAACAGCAACTTGTAAAATCTGCTGTTGTATATATAATAAATGGTACCCGAGGTAATAATATAAAACGACTGCATATTCCGAAATCTCCATAAAATATATATTGCCATCAAAACTTATCATGTAAAGGAGGGAAACAAATGTATATCAAAATATAAATCCGGTAATCATTCCTCAGTGTCTCCTTAAACGAATTTCATCATGATTTTAGTATTGATCTCCAAGAAAATGCATTTTTCTTTTGAAAGACATTTCAATAATAATGGCACCATAATGTCTTGTTGTCTCCTGTATTTGAACATCCGCATGGTATACCGATTTAAATGACTATTAACTTTCTGTGAACAATAAACACGCAACTCCGTTTTTGTATCAGATACATATTCAATTTTTGTTTCAATCAATTGAAAAATTTTGCCATGCTCTGGACTGTATTATTTATAGCTTTACCATAACAATTAAACAGGCCTGAACCGGTTTGAACTAACTGTAAGTGTTTATAGAAAGTATTAGCCCCTGCCATTCGTTACTACGAAACAACGGAGAAAAATCCATAGCCTATTCATGATAAATAATCCATAATTCCAATACTTTAAAGTTACCAATTGTTCTTATAATATAACCATAACCTGTATTTATTTATTTATTGGTTGATATAAATGTCAATTTATGAGAAATACATAACACTACTGCTGTATCATATAGCCTTATTTGGCAAAGTGTTTCATTCAGACAAATAACTGTGTACGTAAACATGTCATGCTGTTAGACATGACTGTCAAGACTATATGTAAATGTTGTTATTATTAATTCATGTCAGTCTAGATCTTACATACAAAAAGAAAGCCAAATATACAGACATACTTTTTCAGAGATAGCTGAGGTAGCTGTTTAAGAAAGGTACATTGTTTTAAAGCGATGCATTTTGTGTTTCATCGGTTATATTATTTGTTTTATAGGCACAACAGCAAATGCTAGTAACGGTTTAAAATAATAATCTGTTCCATATCAAATATAATGTCACTGAACAAGAAAGGTTGGACCGGGACCACATTTTTACGATGGATGATATTTTTCTTTTACTTTTATTACAAAAAAACAACAACAAATAATGTAATGATCTAATTTGTTCAGTTAGATCTAACTGAAGTTTTCCTGCCATGCACTATGAAACATGAGAAGTTATTTTTCTTTGATTCTTGATACCTACCAGCATGTTTCATTTAAAAGTTAAAACACAAATCCACTTAATGGATTATGAGCGATGTAATTTGATACTTTTTTTGAATATTTTTCATAAGCTCGTATACCCTCTAATGTTTGACCATGTGCAACTACGATATCCTACATCTGAATAATGTTTTAGGTCTGTTTACAACACAGATTGTGTATCAATGATAAAATATGAATGTTCACATTTTTTTACTCTTCAACTTAAAGATGTTTATGAAGCAAAAAGAAATATAGCTATCCAGCACAGCGGGTATATCTCAATTTTTCTTTTACCACTCTTTATATATCGTAAGAAATTGTCCTATTTTTTTAAAAATAAACTCGTTTCATGCGTTCGTTAAATTTCTGGTTTTAAATTTCCACGTGTAAAACAATAATATAAGCTATTTAATTTTCAATAGGCAATCGGAAATTAAATAATCAGCAAAAGTATACTACCAGCTTTTAATTGTTTTATAAAATGAATGATGTAATGGATATAAGTAAAACTATTTTTTTTTGGTTTGAAATATTTACCCACATCATCTAATATGTAAACATGATGGTTGTGTAACAGGCGATTTAATTGGCTTTATTTTATTGATAATTTTTCATCAGCCGATGAAATAACTATATACAATATCTCACCTGCAATATACTGGGAGATAATTTGTCAGGTGAGAATGGCACCATAAAAATGCCAGCTTATTCCTCCCCTGTTTCAGGCTATTAAGAAAAACGTCACAAGGAAGTGAATAATTGAATGTTTATTTGCAAATTCTCGTACTATAGAATATAAGTAGTTTACCGGTACAAATGTCGTTTATGAACGCGCGCCGGAAAGAAAAAACAAGTACATATTCTCAATATATGTATAGAGTGGTAAAGGAAATAAATCGAGAGAAACCCTGTGAAAGCAATATAGAGAAAAATAAGAATCCCTTAACCCTTTACCACATATATACGCGAAACAACGCATTTTCGACCCCCCCCCCCCTTTATAGGCCTCAAATAGTGAAAAAAATGTCCTATTTGGGCCCCAAACACATGTTTTCGTTTGAGAAATGTTGGTCAAAAAATTCAGCACTTTTTCGGCGCCGCCCCCCATCCAAAAGATACATCAGGGGGTTGCCAGAAGGGGGATGTGCCCCCTTCTGTTAGGGGGGTTTGAAGGGGGGCGGAGTCCCCTCATCGCCAAGAAAATTTTGGACTTGTGAGAGGCTAAAAATGACCCCAGGTCGATCATAATATAACGTGTAACCAACGCTGAAAAGCCTTTGACTCTATATCAATCCCTTGAGAAGTTGCAGCACTTTGAAATAAATTTTGATGGAAAAAATCGAGGCAAAATAGTGATTTTTGGCAATTTTGAGATGTCCCCTCGTTGCCATGGTAACAGGAAATTTAAGACTGAGCATGTCGTCACAAAGGCAATGGTCCAGTCAACATTTGTGCCAAGTTTGATTAGTATTGAAGCATTTTTCATAGTTTCATAGCAGTTTGAACTTGTAAGAGGAGGCTTTTCAGTAAAAATGGCCATTTTTCACAATATGCTCATGGGGGAAAGGGTTAAGAAAGCCCAACACGGCAAAATTGAAAATGTCAAAGTCAATTTGGTGATGCTCCTACCTAGTGAATTTACAATATGCAGTCTAAATCAAAACACGATTTTTGTTTTCAAGCAAATGTACCACATGACCAAATCTTTATTGTTAAAAAGTACCGTTACCAATATAACAGTATAGCTTTCTGAGTCACGTGGTACACTTACATTGGCATTACGAGAACTTAACATTTCAATAAAAAAAGCTTGGCAACAATATAATATAGCTGATTGAACTCTAAACATACAAAATAAAAGTAATAATTTTGATATTTACTAGTAATTATAAAAACACAAATTACCATAATAAATCTGCACGAAAATATAATAATATATCTAAGATTTCTTTAAAAATTTCATATAACTATCATTGTTGCTTTTAAATATGCCATCAGCGAAATAAATATTGTTGCTGATGTAGCATTCTTTATAAATGTCATATTTACCCTTTTTATTGGAATACACTTGCGTTAAAGTGTTTAAGTGTTGTTTTTTCTGATTTATAAAGCCTCTATGACATTTAAAATATCTGAAAATAATTATATTTCAGTACAAATACATATTCTCTGTTTAATTATGATGTTGGTTAAGGTTTGCTATTCAGAAGTAGAAAAAAACAATTTAACATTTGTTCAATTATTTTGTTACTTTATTTCTGTAAATCTGTAAATCAAATACACATAGTTCAGTTAACAGCACAAATATACAAACACATCATATACAATTTTTTCAACATGCTGCATGATACTATTTGTATTTATAGTATTATATATGAATAATAACTTATTGTAATCGACCACTTCATCAATCAGTCAATTTATCAGTAAGTGTAACAAGTTAATATCTATTTTATGATATTTAATAGTTGCTTTATGGATGAAGTCATCAAGATATCATAGAGTCGAGTCGAACCGACAAATGGTATATTTCATTTAATAATAATTATAATGATAATGTTTAAAAAAAACAACAAAAACAACAAAAACAAACAACATCAGTCTCAATGTGTGCATCGTGTTCTTTATCTTGTATATATTTTTCAAATTATATATTTATCGTATATATTTATTTATTTGTATAAAAGTTAGAACTTTTGAAAATGTTCTAATCGAAAAGAAGTTAAGTACAAGACGTTAATTTTTTAATTTTTGGATCTAAATGGTGTGATATCGATGACAATGCATATTGATTAAGGAATTTATATATAAGGATATGTGATAAATGTTAATATTGAAGTCCAGTCGATATATAATTATGTTATGATACGGGATATTTTTTTTATAGGACTTTTACTTAAAGTACATCGTACAATTAAAAATCTCTGTATTGATTTAAATGACATTGTTCGTACAGAAGTTCAAAGAAAAGATAAACCTTAACAGGTTTTCACCCTTTCATAATAATTGTATCACAATAATTGTTTTCCAATGGATCCCTGTTGTTGTCTCCACAGAAAATGACAGGGACATCTTTTAAG